TGGCTGTGATAAAACACTGGGAGAGGAAAGGGTTTGTTTGGCTAACAAGTTATAATGCACTATTGAGTGGAGCCAAGGCAGGAACCTGAGGGCAGGAACTGTAGCAGAGACTATAGAGAAGTGCCTCTTACTGGCTTGTTTACCCTGGCTTACTCAGTTATCTTTATTTTACAGCCCAGGTCCACCTGCCGAAGGATGGCACTGCCCACAGGAGGCAAGGTCATCCTAAATCAATCATCAATTGAGAAAATGTCCCAACAGACATTTCTACAGGGTGATCTGATGGAGGCAATTCATCAGTTGGAATTCCCGTTTCCTTGGTGTGTCTAGGTTTATACCAAGTTGACAAAAACTAACTGTGATTTCCAGTACCATTAACTGGCCCAAAAATGCTGACTGCCTAGGTCATAGGCCCTAGGGAAAAAACCTAATAACATTCTGCTAAATGGACATAGTAATAAACTGACCCCTAAATTCTTATATTCACATCCATAGATGAGTGCATCTCTTAATCCTCATGAGAGAAGTTTCTTAGCCAAGGGCAATTAATACAGAGACCACCCAACTGATCAATATCTGGTGAATAAGAGATGGTAGAGTATTCAGCTCTAAAAGGGACATCGGTGTCTCACCCCAAGGCTCAGGGATCATCAACAGATAAGCGGAAAAATAGTAAGGATGGAGAGGGGGGTAGATGCCTGCAGTAAATGGCATTTATCTAACATGGCACCACCATTGCACATATGAACTCACAGCCACCGGGGCTGTATGCCTATGACCTGCACAAGATCAAGCCAGTCCCATGTGGATTAGAGTGGGGGATTGGAGACTCATGATATCCTACCCCTACCTGAAGTGCTTTGGCAATTGATGTCCACTGAGGGAGGGAGAATCGGTTTTCTTCAGGGGTGTGATCCGAGAGGCTTCCCATGCTCCAGTCGACCGCCCTATGCATATGCACACACAGGTACTAAGTGGACTCAGTGCGCTTAAAGGGGGGAAAAAAAGCTGAGAGGGAAAAGTGGTGGGAGAGGGGGCAAAAATGGGAAGAAAGGAACTTAAGGGTGGATTTGATCAAACATTAGATGTGTAAAATTCCCAAACAATAGCTGGGCAGTGATAGCACACGCCTTTAATCCCAGCACTAGGGAGGCAGAGACAAGCAGATTTTTGTGAGTTCGAGGCCAGCCTGGTCTACAAAGCAAGTCCCAGGGCATCCAGGGCTGTTATACAGAGAAGCCTTGTACCGAACAAAACAAAACACACACACACACACACACACACACACACACACACACACACACACACACAAATCCAAGCAATAACAACAAGCAAAAGTTGACAATGTCAACAAAATAATCTTAAAAAAATAACAACTAGAAGTTATTGGTTCTTTCCCTGGAGTGAGAACTAAACTGGACTCCCCATGAACTGCGTAGCCTTCTTCAGCGCTAGACTCATGGGCGGCAGTTCTCCTCTCAGCTACGTCAGCACCGTGAAAGCCAGAAAAGGGGTGGGGTGGGAATTGGGAACCTGCCATTTCCTTGTGAGCACATCTGTCTGTTTCATGCCGAACCCCTGCTCAGTGTCTTGTGCTAGGCAGCCAGGCACCTCCAGAGTCTTCAGTTAAGAGCTGATGATCAGGGAGTCAGACCTCTCCCCAGGGTCCTGGGTCCCTCTCACCTCACAGAACAGTTCGGTCAAGACCAACCATTACTCACCATTGCATGGAGGACCAGAAGGGGGATGCCCAGCGTCACGACGACCCTCTTTCAAAGGGGTCTCCAATGCTTTCCCATTTTAGTTCTTCCCCTACTTCTATCTGAATCTAGAAAAGACTTCAGCGAAGGGGTGGAGGGCAGCAAGGGATGAGCTTTGCAGAAACCCCTTGGTACCCTGTGCTGCCACAAAAGCCTCTTGTCACCTGTTTTCCTGCCCTGTGCTTCCTGGGAGACATGCTTTCTCGGCACGCACAGTGTACCCTGAGTGGGGAGAGGGTTATTATGGGAATTCCCACCCCCCCAAATTCTGGTCAAAAAGGTCTCAGGGAAGGTTGGGGCCTTTGTCCAAAACACTAGTGGTGTGCTTTCAGAATCATGTCTAGAACCAGAGCATAGAAAATTTCATGTAGTGACAGTCTGATTAGTTACATGGAAGGATACAGAAGATCACGAAACAGGAATCCATATTAACCAAAGATACAGCAAGAGAAGCCCAGCTGAAGGAAATGAAAACAGTCCTCCTACGGGAATTTCTTGAGCTGCCGGAGCATGCCTCTCAAATTTCAGACACTAAAACATTGACGCAAACAAACAAACAAAACTGGATGTGCAGGCAACCTCAAGGGTCTGACAGAAATCTCAATGAGGTCTCTGCCTGCTTTGGTTTGTTAAGGAAAAAAATGTGGCTAACACTACTATCTGAGAAAAAAATTTCCCCACAGCCTGTGTGCCTGTCACCTATTGTTCCTCTGGAAAATGTCTCCTCTTTAAGCGCCTGCATATTGGCGATCGTTAGGAGGAAAGAGCGCAGCCGAGTTTCCTTTATTTATTTATGTCCCTCTGGCTGCATTCTGATGAAACACAGCATCTGGCTTCTTGGAAAGATGGCTGGGTGGAGAATTGGGGCCCCAGCTCCACATGCAGAGAGCACAGGCTGGGTCTCAGAGTACATTACGGTTCTGACTTCCCTGAAGTGGGTGCTACAGTGACATCTCTCAGTGTCCCCCTGAGGACGTTCTCCTCATGGTGTTCAGGTCAGCCCCCTCCACCTCCCAGTTCCCTGTCTCCCTGGGCAGACTATTTGTGAGGCTGGGTATCAGGACTGAGAGCCTTGTTCACACTGGTGGGGGTGGCAATAGAGGCAGCAGGGGGCATACTGGTATCAATCCAAAAGGCAAGATGGTGGCCAGACGGGTGTGGGTTCTAGAAACATCTCCTCTGAAAGAGGCTTCTGCAGCTCAGGGTTAGTTTGCTTGGAGAAGTAGGTGTGTGTGTGTGGTGGGGGGGTCTTGATGAATGCAGTCTCATTCCTATCCTGTCTTTTCATCTAAATGTTGCCAAGGGTGATGGCAGGTGGAGAGGTGCTGCGTCCAAAAAGGGAAATTCCATGCTGAGAATGGAGAAAAGGGACTTCTTTCTACTCTCAGATGGTGTCATTAACATCACAGTTGGTATGGTGGCTCTGAAATGCAGCAAGTTTCTGTCTGTCTGGGGACAGGTACAGGGTAGAGGAAAAGAGTGTCACTTACTTTGCAGTCACTGAATGTGTGTCAGGGACTGAGGGCTGGCCAATACTTGGTGTGCCTGAGCTCTTATCAACTGGGGTGGATGACCAACATCTGAACAAAAGAGAAGCACCCAGGGTTCTCCACTCTGGGCTGGCAATAAAACTCCAACATGGATGCCAGTAAGTGATCCTGTGTGACTCGAGACAAGAGCTGTATTAGGAGAGTACAAGGCAGGGACAGGCGTATAGCTTCTCTCTGGTTGTACAAACCCAGGCACCAAGATCTCACCTTATGGGAAGGTGAGGAGACACCAAGGAGAAGCAGCCGGGTCTGGCTCAGCTGGTGGCACTCCATCCAGCTCTGACTAGAACTGATATGGAAGGATAAAGGTTGGGCAGGGTGGGCACCACAGGCTGATGTGTATCTTCTCTCTTGGCACAGGTGTCTATCCCAGGCCTGGTGGCAAGGTACAAGTACGTATGTGTCTAAGAGTGTGAGGCCTTGAGGTCCCAGATCTGCCTCTGGTGGTTGGAGAGAAGCAGAACAGAACAGAAGTGGTGAAACATAGTCTGTGTACTGCTGAGAGCACCTGTTCTGCCCTTTCCTCACAGACAGTGGGTGGGGAGGAGGAAGTCACCAAGTCCCAGGAAGTACCGATGCAAGAGCAAGAGGTTCCATGCAATCCCTGTGAAGATTTCAAACACACTTCATTTAACTATAGAGAGTAGCCCCCCAAAAAAGGTCACATGAAAGCACAAAGAGCTCCAAATTGCTTACACAAGGCTGATCAGAAAGAGCAGTGCTGGAGGCATCACAATATCTGATCTCCAACTACACTACAGAGCCACAGTAACAAAACCGGCACAGTACTAGCTCAACCCCAGAAACACAGACCAATGGAGCAGAACTAAGGCCCCAGAAAAAAAGAAGCCCACACAGATACAGACATCTAGTTTTTTTCAAAGGGGATAAAGTGTACATTAGGGAAAAGACAGCCTTGTTAAGAAATGATGTTGGGAAAAGGTGGATAGATACATGTAGAAGACTGAAACTAGATCCATAACTCTTACAATATATGCAAAACAACTTCTAATGGATGTAAAGGGTTGGGCTGTAGATCAGTGGTAGAATGTTTGCCTAGCATGTGCAAGGCTCTGGTTCAATCTCCAAATGCTGCAAGAAGAAAGAAGAAGAGGAAGAAGAGGAAGAGGAAGAGGAAGGAGTTGGAGGAGGAGGAGGGGAAGGAGGAAGAGGAAGGAGGAGGAGGAGGAGGAGGAGGAGAAGAAGAAGAAGAAGAAGAAGAAGAAGAAGAAGAAGAAGAAGAAGAAGAAAGAAGACAGCTAAGATCTTAATGCATGACTTGAAACTTTAAAACCTTAAAAGGAAACACTTCAAGATGCACAGACAATGACTCTCTAAATAGAACTCCAATGGTGCAGTAAATAACAGCAAGAATTGACAAATGGGCTAATTAAAACCATTCCCACCAGCCTTGTATTAAGGTTCCCTTTTCAGTGTATACTCACCAACATTTGTTTCCATTTCTTTTCCTTAGTGATAACCAATCCAACAGAGCTGAGAGGGAATCCCAATGCAGTTTTGACTTACATTTCCCTGATGGCTAAAGATGTTGAGTACTTTTTTGAACATATAGTTTTTGTGTACTTATTAACCATTCTGTACTCCAGTCTTGATAGGGAGGTTCCTCAAAAACAAAAACAAACAAATGAGTCAAACTACTTGGAAATGTCACAGCTTTTCTTCTCTGCAGGCTGTTTGTCTTGGGCCCATGAAGAATGGTGATTATGGACCAGGAAGAGTGAGTGAAACAAGGATTATTGAACAAGAGGGTAAGTTCTCGATGCCTGATGGGGGTTGCTCAGTGGGTTGCCAGTGAAGATGCTGTTTCAGGGTTTTGTTTTGTTTTTTATAGGCTTAGGTGGGTTCTTATTGGCTGGTGTGTGTATATGCAAAGTGGATGAAAAATAAGGACCAAAAACAAGTGAATGAGTAGAGCGCCTGCTCAAACTGAGGAGAGTTCAGTTAGGACCATTGCTTTGCCCTCAGCTCCTTTGATGCTACCAAGGAAGCTGAGGAGAAGAAAAGAAGAAAATAGTTTATACCCCTTCTTCTGATCACAGTTGGGGGTATTCCTATGTCCAGCAGAACTGTCATGTGGTCATATGGTCCTGCAATACTGCTCCTGGGAAAACACCCAAAGGACTCTCAAGTCACTATGCTATAGAGACACCTACATATCCATGCTATTGTGACACTAGTCACAGCAGCCACATCGTACAATTAGCCTTAGGTACCTATCAATGGATGAATGGTAAAGCCAATGAGGTCATTTGTCAAGAAATGCATGGCTTATCCTGTCCAGAGAATGAAGCCAGATTCTAAATTAAAGTATTACATATTTTCTCTCATGTGTGGAATTTAGGGGGGATTAATGAACATGAGAATAAAGTGGGGATACCAGGGATATGATGGGAGGGGACGGGCAGGGTAAGAAAGGGTTCTAGAGGTGGAGAGAAACACATTACTTTATATGATTAATATATGCTAATAATTAAAAGAAATGTTCCAACCCCAGCTTCTGCTCTTGGTCGATCCAAGCTCTTATAAATCTTGATCTGTCTGCAGTGGAAGTTCCCAAATTGGCACTCTATGTTCCTCCCTTTCATCATCATCATCATTGTTGCTGCACTGGGAGTTGAGTCTGGTACATGTTTGTCAAACATTCTTTCTCTGAGCTAACACGCCCTCAGAAGTTCTCACTATGTGGCCCAGGCTAGCCTTAAACTCCTAATTCTCTGCTTCTACCTCTAAAATGCTAGAATGCTGGGTGTACACCACCATGACCAGTATTATTTCCTTTTTCAGTGTCCCTCACACTTCACAGAGTTAGGCCCAAATAATTTGGCCAACATTTATGCCTCAGCAACCTGCTAGCCTGTTGAAAAAGCAATACACACAGACTGAAAGAAAACAGTAAGAATTTAATTTACATTCCATTTACATTATAGACAAGCAAGTGACTTGTTTACTTATGCTTTTTGTTTTATTTTTTATTGGTTTGTTGTGGGTGGTGGTGCTGGTGGTGGTGTGTGTGTGTGTGTGTGTGTGTGTGTGTGTGTGTGTGAGTGTGTGGTCAGTGTGTGGAGGCCAAAGGCAACCTGAAGAGTTATGCTCCTTCCATTCTTGCTCCATCTGCCTTCTTGTACAACACATGGCCACCTGCCCAGAAATTGCACTACCCACCATGGGCTGGGCCCTCCACATCAGCCATTTAATTAAGAAGATGCTCTATAGAGCTGTCTACAGGCCAATATGATGGAGACACTTTCTCAGCTGAGGTTACCTCTTCCCAAATGACTCTAGCTTGTGCCAACGTTGACAGAAAACTAAGCAGCAATCAGAGCAACCAGGGAAAATGTCTTAAAGTTGTGACATCTTCAAAGATCTATAGTAGGATCTACAGGTATCATGAAGTCCCTTGAGTTAGTAGTTGTGTACTTTTCAACCCATGTCCAGTTGCTGGGTTCCTTTAAAACATCCCTCAGCACCCCTGAATTTGTTGTGACCATCTGGGACACATCAATCCCGAGTTGAGTCCCATGAGCCCAATTCCACTAATCATTGCTTTACACAGAAGCAGGGCTGATGGGATATGGAGAGAAGTCTCTGGTTGGATTACTGAGAAACATTTTCTTCATGTGATGGAAGTTCTGGTCCTGGTGGCTGTAGAGTTTGTAAAGGAACCAGCCAAGGTAACAACCCTGGTCTGCAGAGGGAGAAATGTAGGGTAGCTGGCTTTATTGACATGCTTGAGTGCCGAGTCCTGGAAATACCCATCCTCCTAATGTGCGAGCTGATGCCTTTCCAGAAATTTCAAGCTTTGGAAAGCTGGATTTCCTGTTGACCTGCACTCACAAGTCTCCTTCCGGGTATTCCAACAAAGTGCATTTAGGAAACAATTCCTTTTATTCAGAGTCTCCAAGGAAGCTCGTGATTCTTGGCTCGCCCCGGATCAGTGCGGTTTGCCAAATTCCCTTCTTTGAGGAAACCTTTTTTTTCCATAGAACCCAATTATATCTCACAGAACACATGTGTGCCAAAAAACACACTTCTGAAAAGCTGCCTTACACCCTGCCTCATGGCTCTCAGCCCCCACCAGCCTGCAGAAGCCTGTGCACACAGACTCCCACCTCAAAGCACAGAGCCCACATGTGTTTCTGCTCAGTGGGGGAGACTAAATGGAGCCAGATGTACCTGGGCAGCCCACAGCAGAAGCAATGATTTAACATCCTAGGTATGTGGGGATTAGTTTGCCCGAGAGCTCCTATGGAGGGGAGGGCCTCTCTGACTGCTCTGCTAATGGATTCAGCAGAAATGCCGCACAGGCTGGACACAGCATGTAATGTGTTGTGATATGTCATGCAGTGTGCATAACATGTTCTGTCCATGACTATACTGGTGTGCTTGAGTGCAGCAACCATGAAAACTGTGCATGTGACAGCTGTGCCCATGATGGCCATGCTGTGACTGATACATTTTCGATGACTCTGTCAGTGACAGCTGTATGTTGTTCTGGTGACAACTGTTATTGTCTTTCATGGCTCCTGGGACAGGACCTGCTTTCATTGCTGTTCTCCACTGAGGAAACCTCTGGGGAGTACACAGCCTGTCTTGTTCTTCCTCAGCCACAGCCTTAGGTTCCCTGGCCCAGGTGGATTTTTTACTGCATGACCGGAGCCATTTACTGCATGACTGGGGCCATCCCTCCCACACTGGGACTCAGAGACCACTCAATATGTAATTTTCAAAAGGCATCCTTTGGGATCCTTTGGTGTTTGGAATGTACCTGAGCTAGGCTTGTGTAGGGGTGAGGAGGGACAAGGTCCCTGTCCAAAATCTGACCAGACTAGCTCTTGCTTATCCCTCCTTTCCAGGGAAAGGGGCTAAACTGCTGACTGGCAGTCCTGTATTTTACTGCAGATGAAGCCTTCTCTCTGGATGTTCTAGAATCCCTGAAGAGTTGTGGGCTAGTGGAGGGGGTTGATACAGTCCAGAGTCAGTCATTTTTTCTTCCCTATTGGTTTCTCCTGGTGTGACCCAGGAGAAAGTGGCCTGCTCAGTGTATCTGCAAGGAAGTCAGGCAGACACACAAAGCATGCTTCTCCAACTGTGGGTCTGTGTCGAGGAAGCAGGAGGCAGACGAGAGGGAAGTGCAACCTTGGAGGCAGCCTGTGCTTTATTTGCTCAACGGTGGTCAAAGACCAATGCTGTCCACCCATGCTGGGCTGGGCAACTTCACCTGAGAAGCTTCACTCTTACTCTCAGGGCTACCTAATCTGGGTCTCGGGTGCCTAACGGCATGGATTGGCGTGAGGTGTCCTGAGGCTGTGACAGGGAACTTTGGAGTTTTATCAGCTTGGATGCTGTAACAGTGCCACCAAAGGAGGTGTGGGTGGGCGACTGTTAACACACACACACACACACACACACACACACACCCTTGTTTCATCATCACCACCATGGGGGAGCCCAATATTACAAGACCAAAGTATTGGTGAAGTCGGTTTCTTCTGAAGCCTTTGTCCTGGGCTTCTGCCTCTCTCTTTCTATAGTCTGTCTGTCTGTCTGTCTGTCCGTCCATCCGTCCGTCTGTCTGTCTGACTATGTGTCTGTATCCCCTCATGAAGATATGAAGATACCAGTCATACTGGATTAAGAGCCACCCTAATGGCTTAACTTTAACATAATTACCCTTTTTAAAGACCCTTGTCTCTAAGTACAGTCCCATTTCGGGTCCTAGGGTTTAGAACTTCAAAACTTCAACACAGGAATTTGAACTCGGTTCTAAATAAAGTATGTTCACTCCATGTCCTTACCCTGAAACTCTCTCCCTCCCTCCCTGCCTCCCTGCCTCCCTGTCTGCCTCCCTCCCTCCCTGCCTCCCTCAGCTCTCTGCTATTAGAGGGAACATTCTCTAACTCCCTGTTGACTCTATAGTCCTGTGAGTCAGCTGATGTCACAACTGGCCTTAGACAAGCTTGGGCTGCCAGAAGAGACACAAAGGGCTGCTTGTGCTGGGAGTGGACTGGAGGTCTCTTCCCATTAGATGCCAGAGCTTGATCAAGCTGCATTTAAGATACTCAGTGTTCTGATTCTAGGGGCCATTAGGTGGTGTTGTGAGCAGGTAGAAATCACAGGTCGAAGAGAGCCCTTGGTACCGGCTCCACTCCTCTCTGCCCCACCCACACCATGTACATGTTATGGGGTCCGAACTGGGCAGTGGAAGGGCTAGAAACCCCAGCATTGAACAGCAGAGGATTCAAGCAGGTCCTGGTCTCTGCAATGCTAGGGATTCTAGATGTTTTATCAAGGCTTTGCCAGGAGGAGTTTAGAGACTCGGGGAGACAGTGTGTTACTTGCAGTGAGTGCCCTTCTCAAGCACGGGTGAACTGGCAACTTTGGTGGAATTAGTTTAGGTTTCAGATGGGAACTCCAGAGGGCAATCTAAAAAATGAAAAAGAAAGAAGAGGAGGAAGAAGAGGAGGGAGAGAGGAAGAGGAAGAAGAGGAGGGGGGAAAGGAGGGGCAGGAGGAGGATAGAGGAAGAAGAAGGGGAAAGAGGAGGAAAAAGAGAAGAAGAGACAGGAAGGCAGAATGGGAGGTATAAAGGGGAGGAGAAGGGGAGAAGGTTATATAGATAAGGTTGTGTCTGAGCTGGGTCTCCTTCAGTGCTATTGCCCAAGTGTGGTGATATGATCTCCAATAGGCAGACACAACCTTTCTCACAGCTCAGTAATCTTGCCCTGAAGTGAATGTGGTTCAGCACCTTA